CTCCTGGTTGTTGGTTCTCCATCTGATTCTCTGGCACTATCTGAGATTCAACTGTTTGAGATGTCTGCACTGCATTCTCTGGTTCTTCCTGAGCTTGAATTGTTGGAGGAATCTGCCCTGCCTTCTCTGATGTAGCTGCCATTTGCCTTGCCGCTTTCTTGTTTTTATTAGCTTCGGTATCTTTCTCAGCCATTTGTATCTTCAAGAGTCTTAGTTGTAATGTTTTAATTTCTTCGTCTTTTTCCCTCTGGGTTGCTTGGTATTTCATATCGTGGTAAATGAGATGTTGTCTCCATTCTTCAATGGGTATAGCTTCTAATGCCATCACATCTCCCAGGCTTGCCTGCACTGATTGGGGAAGGGCGTTAATGACCGCGTTCTTCCACAGCATTACGACAGACGGTGAAACGTCATGTCGTTCTCCAGTGCAGTCCTCCCACACTCCTTCACATCTCTTCAGGAAGGCATACATGTCTTCCCCCGGTTCTTTTCTCAGGCTGTTGAGGGCATGTAAACTCCGTGTTGTTGGGTAGATTTGACGAATGGCAGCCCAATACCTCGACCTGACTTTGTTGAAGAAAATGTAATCTGGAGAGTTGGTGCATTTGGCCTTGGCCACTGCTCTTGCCTCTAGTCTTCCTTCTATCCGTCCAAGCAGTGCCCTCATGTTTCCCAAGCACAGGTGGTCTTGGACTGTGTATTTCTCCAGATCATTCACCCACTTCTGACCTCCTTGTGTAAGTGGAGGTAGTTTTGCCGCTAATGCTTCCATGTCTCTGTGAGTCCATGATTGGTATTTCAATCCTCCTTCTCCAGCCGCTATCACCGGTAGCATGAGTGTTGAGCAGTTCTTGAGTCTTCCAGCTTCAGTTACGGTTGTGGTGTCTGGAGAACCTTCGCCTTCTCTTCTCTTGAGTTGTGCTTCCATACTTTTGCTGAGGTCTTCCATCTTTCTGTTGAGCTCCTCTTCCATTCTTCTGCTACTTCTTTCATTCTTCTGCCTACTTCTTTCAATCTTCTGTTGAACTCACCAGATAGGAGTCTTACCTCATACTCCAAGTCTTTGACACGTGTAGCTGTGGGGAGACCGTCCAACTCCAATACTCCTCCTAAAACACCTAGAGTTGGAGCTTGTATTGGGGGTTGAAAGAAACTGTATTCTTCTTCTGGAGGCGCATCTGTCAGGCTTGGAAGGAGCTTTGAAGGTTGGATTACTGGAGCTTCTTCTGTCTTTTCTTTCTTATCTTCCTTTGCTGTGAGCTCTGCTCCTTGAGCCACATACATGCTGTTCGTTGATTCTTGGCTGACATATTTTAGATGGAGTACCAGACTTGTAACTCTAGATTTTCTTTTTTCAGCTCTGTTCATAGCAATGTTTTCAGGTCCATACCAAGAGGGTTGTCCGGCTTTGATCCATGCTTTTTCCTCTTGTAGGTATTCAGCATTCTCATGTTCAACTACAGCTTTGCTATGGGCTTTCGTTGGTCCAGGCTGATCATCTGCTGGAAACAGTCCTCTCGTTTGCCACTGTTCCAACAGTTTCTCCATGTGGTTCCATGTCTTTTGTCTAAGATTTGGAACTGTTATAGCATCTGATCTGATTTTTATCCTTCCCTTGATATCTGCTGTTGAGCCTGGCTCTGCGTCTAGTCTCAACTTAGTTTGTTTAAGTGGCATGTTTTCTTCCTATTCGAATGAAATTACGAAGTTATCAAAGATTGAAGCACTAATCCTCCGACTAGCACCTTTGTTCCTGATAAATAATATCCTATGTCATCCGATCTTAACTTTAAATCAGGGTTGTTTTTTTTTTTTTTTTAGTTGTATGTAAATATTATTAAAGTAAATTAAAATATAAAATTTGTGCAAATTTTAAATTTTTAAAAATAAAAATTGTACAGTGTACAGTATGGTTTTGACTTTGAAATATGAAAATAGAAATCTGTGGTAAAAATCTAAATCCACTGTGTACAGTGCATACCGAAGTGTATGAAATTATGCAAATGTCTCAACTTGTGTTAGCTTCAATAAAGTGGTGTTTGAATATTCTACAGTCTAGGTTATGTTATTATGTAAAGTTTCTCATTTTATAATTAGAAACCACTTTGCAATTCTATTCTGGCGATCAAGCTTATGTTTATTTATAACACTTAAAATTAAACTTCAAAATGTTATTTAGTGTTTCCTCTATTAGTGTAATAATTCTGTACTACCACCAGAGTGCGCTATTGCAATTTCCAGCTCAATTCACTAGCAATAGCTGTTGTAAAACTGACCTCTATTGGTAAAAAGAATGGTATTTTCCTTCTTAAAATGGGAAGAAAATTACACACAGCACATAACCGCCAAAACACATTTGCAACCAGGAATATTTCAAAAACCGCCAAAACACATTTGCAAGCAGAATTACATCAATAATCAGCCAATACACTTTTGCCAGCAGCAATACTTCAAAACTTTGAAAATACAACAATCCTTCCCTTTAATATCCAAAAATTGATTCAGCCTTCTAGTTCCAACTGTGACAAGAAGTATTATTCGTTCTTCACAAGATGGAGGTCAAGAAAATGCCTCATTGGAGTGAAACCAGCTGCATAAGAACAAAGAAAGGAGTGCTTTGAATTTGCATTTCACGAAATGGCGATTGCCCTGTCTTTGTTTTTCTACATGCGGGGTGTAAACAAGATGGCACCCGATTATTTCGCACTCTGACCAGTAGACAAAGAGATTTGTCCATGCGGCTCTCAGGGAGGAGTTTAAACAATAGCGAGGTGATCTTTAAACGAACCGTAACAAAGGAAACCACTGGTGTGGTATTATAAACCCTGAAATCCAAGCCAAAACAACACTTAGTTTAAAATAATAACATTTCTATCTAGTTTACTATGAAAAAATGGGCTTTATCTTATTGATATCATCACTTAAAGTTAGGAACCCTTACGCACAAGCTATAAACCTGTCTACGTAATAATTGTACTTTATAGTCTACTATTGGTTAACTGTTGCTATTTGGACACGCCAAACCGGGACCAATATGGAGACCTATCAGCAACTAATAATAGACCGTCGTCTTATTACTGCACTGCTGTTGTAATTCCGATTACCGTAACCCACCTGCAATATCTTGTTTAAAAACAGAACAGTTTTAACCA